TTGTTTCTGAGGTAAGAATGAATTTTGTTGTGTAGTAAGTTAGAGACTAAGAAGCCTTTGACCATGCCAACATGCAGTTCATTCACTAAATTGCAATCTTTGCGGAGTCAATGTATATTATTGCTACCTTGAGTACCATAATCTACATTGATCTCACAACGCTTAAGCCGAACCTACTCGAACAATTCTATTCGGGGGGATAGCTAATTCTTTTTGATAAGTCTCGCCATAGACTTCCAAAACATTTATGGGAAAACCAAACACCCAATCTCAAGTCGTTCGTCTAAAAGACAACAGACAATTACACCAAACTATATTTTACCATGTAAAGCTAACTTAAACCAAGTTAGAAATGGAAAAATAGTTTGGAACACTTTTCTATAGGCATAAACCCCTGTAGTACCCCTTTTCAGCATTCTCCACCCCTTAACTGGTAGTTGTAGCTGTTCCCAACCATAATAGCTTACACACCAGGTGCATATAGTTTGAGACCTTATGTAAAATCCCCTTCATAAGCCCACCTTAAACCACATAATTGCATGACACATTGAACCAGAACGGCACAGGCTGGACGTCGCTGGAGACAACCTTCGCTGGAGGCGACCTGCAATCCTGACGTTGGTCTCAACTCTTCATCCAGTGGCCGCTTCTTCAGTTCAATCCAAGGGCACCCCACTGTATGCTGATTAATCAACACTTCCAATCGCTGTGGATTTACCGTTGTGGATTATATGACTTTTTCCAATGGATTACAGACTCTGTTTCCAAGGGGTTAAAGCATTGCTACAATGGGATTACCGAGACGATGTGGGATTATAATCAACACAATGGAATACCAAGAACATTGTGGAATTACCTTGACTTTGTTTCCTTGCTGGATTACTTCTGACTTTGGTCTTCCTTTCTGGATTACTTCTGACTTTGGTCTTCCTTGCTGGATTACATCAAGCTCAAGGACATTTGAAGGTCTAAGTTCACGGTTGGAATTCATCCCCATGGACAGGTGATGATTTCCAAAGGGGGGACTGTAGTGAACCAGATAACCTCAAATCTACCAGATGGACAGAGACTGTTATTTTCATTGATCTGAATAAGTCTGAACCATCTGATGAACTTTCTTTCTTGAATTAATCAAGCAGAAAAGACAATTCTTTATAATCATTACTGTCTTACAAATGTTTTGATAATCAAATTGTGTTAGTTCACTCAATGCTTTACAGGTTGAAAAGAACTACTAATTTTTATTTTTACATAAACAGTAAGTAATGATTTTTGTTCCTCATTCAGAGAAGAAATCACCTGAATATGCCTTTCTTGATTTTCTGTCTGAAATGAGCAAGCTGTCGTAAGTATGTTAAAGGTTGGTTTTCGGTCAACTAAAATGTTTACCGAGAAAAATGTCATGTTTTACTATTTGAAAAGATTACAAAGTGTGAGACTCCACGAAGTCTGCTGTTGCTGCAATAATCTTTTCTGTATGTTGTAAACAATCCTTGACTTATGATAACATCTTACGTCACAAATCCACTCCTCTTTCTGGTCCTTCCACGAATCAGAAAGCTCTAAATTGAACAGGAAGTCGACCCAAATAAAATGTGGCAACTTCTCAGTTCATGAATTGGAGAATAGGAAGAGAAGGAATAGAGAATTATGGATTCCAGAATTCCAAGAGAATGAGAGTTCTGAGAGATGTTGGAATGAGAGCTGACAACAGGTCCGATATTCCAACAGAATGAGCAGATTGAGAGTGCAGCCGGTTATGAAGAGTTTGGAGTTATGAAGAACCAGGGACGTTTGGGATTATAAGTCTATTTTAGCTAACCACGCACGACTCTCCGAGGATTTTTAGCTGTGCTTAACGGAGGCGCTGGAAACAGTCTGAAGGATGCTTACTGAGCTGATCTATCGTCAAACCAGGTAAAGGTTTCTTCTTCGACTAAAGTGTACCGTGGACGGGCTGAGGATCTGACGGAGCGTGCAATTTCTGGTTAAACAGATTAAACTTCCCTCACACAGTTCTCTGTAAGATAATCTCCTTTCACTCTAAAACCCACCTCTCTCTCATAAATCAGTACAGATATTTTAGAAATATCTTAAGCAAAGTCCTCAAATCACCGCCGAGTGATTTGAAGTTCATTTTCTGTGAAACTGTCTGTTATTATTTTCATATTTTGCCAAATTAATGTAAATGTTTGATGTTAAACTTTGATTCTGAAAATAAATGATTCCATTCATTTGATGGGTCAAAGATAAATAACGTCTCTTGTTTACATTTCTGTTAAATTCAATGCACGACATTTACAGTCAGAAAAATGAAGAACTCGTGAATATTGTATGCATATATAATTCATATTTGTCATACAACAAGTGACACGTACCTCACGTGACTCACTACACAACACTTGCACAGTCATGCTTTTGCTATTAAATACTATTTCTGATCTTAACAGTGGCTATCAAGAAACGATCCAGAGTCCCTGGAGTTATGATCACTCAGTTTGTGGAGATACTTCCTGCAGGAAAATCAACACCCGACTTCACCCGGAAACCGATGGCCTCAACTGTTCAAGAGGGTAGAAATACAAGCACATATGGTGAAAGGGCAACAAAATAATGCACTGGTGTTCCCTGTTTCACTGATCTCTGGTTGTGTGTGTTTACCCCGTTTCAGGGAAAAAAGCCTTTTTTAAAGCTACGGTGAGTGGAGAGCCAACACCAACTGTTACATGGGGTCGCAACAAAGGGGAAGTGGATGATCCAGAAAAATACAAAACCAGATATGATGAAAGAACTCGAGAACACATTCTTGAGGTGAGAGAGTAAGCAATGGAATAAAATGTAATGTATATTTTTATCATAAAGATGTGTGTTGACCTGACATTTGATTGATTGGAACATTTGCCACGAGTGTCTGTCATACTATTTGCAGCATATTATTCTGCTTTCCCCTGTCAATAGTCACAAAATGTAAAGAAACCTAATACAGTTATTTGATTTCTTTAAAAACTCATTAGCTTTCATAGGAGCACAAAATGTAAAATTCTAACAAAAAAATTTTAAAAAATCATATTTTCCTGTTGATATATACGCCACAGTACTAAATTAAACATATAGAGAAGATGCCATTTCTGATGAGAATTAGTATTTAATAGCAAGACTTCCTACACCTAAGGTGCATTAAATGTTCATAAAGTAAAGTTTAGAAAATAATATGATGTGAAGGTTTTAATTTTCTACTCAGATTGATGAAGTGATGATTTTTTTTTCACATGTAAGTTTGGATTATTCACTGAAAGATGTTTAATCAAGCTCAAAAATGTTATAATTTCCAACCAAATGTAACCTTTAAAATATATATTTTTCACTTTAAAATACTTTTGCAAGATATAAAAATTAAGTTACGCACATGTTTAATTTATAATTGTATTCTAGAATAAATACAAGACTTTTTATAGTAATATACCGATCCACAGTTACTTTTCAATTTATGTAATTTCTTTTCAGATACCAAATACAAAGCCTGACCAAGCTGACACCTACAAGTGCTTTGCAACCAATGAGTACGGAAACGCTGTCTGCACAGCCACTCTGAATGTGATGGAAGGTGGAATTTATTCATACATGTTAACAACAATAGTAAAATGTACTACTCTGAAAATTTTAATATATATATGTATATATTTGTATTGTTTGCTGCTGTTGTTAATGTTTTTTCAGGTGGCAACAAGAAGAAACCACAAGACGGTATGAAACTATATTTGATCAATCTAGTATCAGTTGTTTAATGACTTCACTTTCTTTTTGCTTTCTGAAAAAAAATTTGATTATGCTAATACGTTACTTTAAAACACCAATTTTTGTTGCTCAGTGTGTATTTTCTTTCAAAGTTTGTCTACATTTCATGATTGAGGCCAGTTCATACATAAACTCTCCAATCTCCAATGATGGCTTCAACTTTAATCCTTCTTTCTTTTTTCAAGCAAACGGGCAGGGAACACAAGACTTTAGAGCAATGCTTAAGAAAACGTAAGTTAAAGATATTCTACACTATATTATACAGTACTACAAATACTATAGAGATACTATGCTATTTCACTATCTTTTCCATTTTTAGAACTGTTGTGACCAAGAAAAAGAAACTGCCACAACAGAAAGAAGGAGAAATAGATCCTAAACTCTTGGAGCTGCTTCTAAGTGCACCAAAAAAAGACTATGAAAAAATTTGTCGGGAGTTTGGTGTTACTGACTTCCGCTGGATACTGAAACAACTTAAACAGATGAAAAAAGAGAGAGAAGATGAACAAGCCCAGGTACTGTTACCAGTACTAATCATCTGTAAGAATTCAAAATGGTAAAAAGGTAATGGATGTAGCAACAATTACAGAGAAAGGTCCCCAGACATGTGCTGGATTTTGATTTGTAGGTTGTGGAGAAGTTGGAGAACGTGAAACAAATTGAAGTGAAACCAAGTGGGAGAGCTGAATTCAGCTTCGACATGAAACTAAAGGATTCCAACAGTGCAGTAAATTTATATAAGGTGAATTAAAATGCATTCATAACCCACCCCAAAACAACAGTTAAATCCTAATTTTGAAATAAACATTTGCACTGTTTTTGTCTTACAAGGATGGAACTCTGCTTTCATACGATGAAAATAAAAACTCAAAGCACAGTCTTGAGAAATCAGGGATAAAATATATTTTCAGCGTTAAAGACCTTCAGCCTGATGATGCTGGATTATATCAGGTTGATGTTGAGGAGACAAATGTCCTTACAACTGACTTTCAAGGTAAAGCATGCCTACAACTGAAACAAGGTGGTCATCATGGACGTTCAGATTTAAAAACAAGCCCTTTTTTTCACCTCTCGTAGTTCCAGATGTGGATTTTGTAGCAAAGATCAAGGATGTTAAAGTCACTAAAAATGACGAGGCTGTCTTTCAGTGTGTTTTGTCAACACCCCTGGAGAAAATAACGTGGGCGAAAGTGGACTCATCACTTGAACATAGTGATAAATATGAAATCACGGTCTCAGAGGACAAACTGACTCACACACTGAGAATAAAAGATTGTCAAATTGCAGATAATGGAGCTTACTATGCAATTGCTGGTATTACATCCAGCAGTGCCCTCCTCAAGGTAGAAGGTGTGAAATATTTTTCATCTTAATATTGATATTATTAAATAAAATACTAAGTTAATATTTATGGCTGATACTACTACAAAACTCCTATAATGTTTAAAAAATGTACTGAAGATACTTCATGAATAATTCACCCAACTTGTGTGTGTTTACTCATCCAGCTGGTCCAGCAGGTCAAAAGGGAACCACAGTTGGTGATTATGATAACCACATGCACACGTCAGAACAGCAAAAGGAGTTTCAACAAGAAAAGACTGAAGTGGACACATCAAAACGTGCAAAGCTTGGAAAATATGCTACAGATGCAGAAGACAAAGCTGCACAGGGAAATGGAGATGGTGGAAAAGATGGAGGTGAAGGGAGAAATGAAAGAGATGGCTTTTATCATGGCAGTAGTGAAGATACAGGGACAGGAACCGAGGAAGGGAAAAACAAAGGTGATGAAGACAAAGTTGATAAAAATGGCGACTTTGAGAACCTCCAAGGAGATGGAGATGATAGAAATACAACAGATGATGCTGGTGACAAAAAGAAGAAGCAATTACGAGATGGTCCTTTGGCTCCTGAGACTGTCAAAGGTAAAACTTATTTAGCATTTAAAGACTTATAGTGTATTTAAAATGCCATATAATATTACAGTGTTTGTTCTACTCGATGTTCTTCAAAAATATGAACATTCATCAACGCTCTGTTACAGCAAATACCTGAAACTGAATAAAAGCATAGCTGTATACAGCTGACAGTAAAAAAAAAAAAAGAGATAAAGTAATTTCAGCTTTATAGAAGAATTAAGGCAAGCACAAAAACCAAAAGACCTGAGGCGTTTGTCATAAACATTTATAGGAGATTAAGACAAATTACCTGAAGTAAGCTCGGGCTAGTTTTTAAATTATTTAAACATTTTGAAAATTATGTGGTAAAATAACAATTCAGGCTCAGAAATGTGCCAAAAAGCAAAGAGGGAGGTAGCGAAAGCAAAGCAGAAGGCGTATGATGAGTTGTATGGCAGGCTGAACACTAAAGAGGGAGAGAAGGACTTGTACCGATTGGTGAAACAAAAGGATCAGGCAGGAAAGGATGCGCAGCAGGTTAGGCTTTTTAAAAGATAGGAATGGTAATGTTCTAACAAGTGAGGAAAGCATGACAGGAAGATGGAAGGAGTACTCTGAGGAGCTAATGAATGAAGAGAATGAAAAAGAAAGAAGAGTAATGGTGTCATAGAAACTGTGGACTTGGAAGTGGGAAAGATAAGTGAGGGTGAAGTTCGGAACATGCATGTTTAATTTTGTGCTTATCATTTTGAACATTAAAGTCTGAAGTGAGAGATTAAATGTATACTGTAATTCATAAAAAGTACAAATACGTTATTGAATGTTACATTTTCAAATGCAGATCGAGGTGTTCAGTTTGTCAGAGGGCTGTCAGATTTAAATGCCAGTGTTGGTGGTCATGCAGAGCTGTCCTGCAAACTGAGCAGTGACACTTCAGAGGGACGGTGGTACAAAAATGGAAAGCTGGTAAGTCAACTGTGTCCGAACAGAACAGAAAAATAATGCAATCATGTTTATTTGATAGATGTTATGTTTTCATATGATTAAAAAAATAATCTGTATCCTTTTGTTTGATAAGCTAACAAATGAGGTGGGAGTAAAGATAATTAAAGAGGGCGCTTGTCACACTTTGATCATTGAATGCTGTAAAAACGAAGATATAGCCGTGTACCGCTTTGAATCAGAAGGACGCAAATCGGAGGCAAAAGTTAATGTTCAAGGTCAGAATAAAATCAACAATATAGATGAATACTTCAAGACCCAAAGTCTTTCAATCCCTTTTTTTTATTTCCATGACACTACAGACCCACCAACAATCGACCCAGATGTTTTAGGGAAATTCAAAAATCCAGTCGTTATAAAAGCAGGTGAAAATGCTGAATGGAAGCTGCCGTTTTCAGGAGGAGCACCAATGAACATTCAGTGGTACAAGAATGATGATGAGCTTTTACCTGCTGTCAATGTGAAGATTGAGACCTCAGACACCAAGAGCCAACTGCGTCTTACTAAGTGTCAAAGGAAAGATAGTGGAGGTGTCAAAATCAAAATTAAAAATGAGTTTGGCACAATAGAAGCCATTTCAAAGCTTATTGTACTAGGTGGGTAAAACAAAATTTTGGGGGATTCAAGGCTTACTGCTTAAATAGATACGTGCTGTTCTGCTGTTAGCAAATTATGATTCTTTCATCTCATTCTATCAACAGACAAACCAACACCTCCTCAAGGTCCTGTGGACATCATGGAAAGTGCTGCAACATCTGTTGAATTCAAATGGAAACCACCAAAAGACAGCGGTGGTTGCCCAATTACAAATTATATCATAGAGCGGCAACAAGTTGGACGAAATAAATGGTCAAATCTTGGAGAGATCCCTGGTACACCACATTACAAAGATACCAATGTGGATCCTGGAAGGAAATATTCCTACAGAATAAGAGCCAAGAATGCAGAGGGCATTAGTGATTACCTGCAGTCAGAGGACATATCAGCAGGTGTATTACGTAAGTATTTCACTAATGCCTAAATGGCATGGCTTTGTGGCTTGAAGTGTAAGGTTTTCCATAAAAAATGTGCAAACAAATATGAAAACTCTCAAACTGAACACAACACTAACATATATTATCCAATCGGATTTAAAAAATCAGTATGACTTATTAATGGAAAGAGTTCATTTTAGGCATTAACAGCCAGAGAAAGGCTAAATACAATTAACTCTAAAGTTAAGATTGCAACTGAAGTGGGCCTGTGAAGGTTGCCATGACTCCCTTGACCATCATCATCAAAATGTGGGTGTAAAAGGTGAAACACTCACACCTGTCTCCACCTTCATTTGCCCCCTTCTGGACCCTTGCGCAAGACCCTTAACCGTTAGCCCCAACCATCTGCTCCCCCCGGGCACCCTAGGTAGCAGCTCTCTGCTCCACATAGAGGGCTGTGGTAGCTCTGTGGTCTGTGGTTGCATCAGGAAGGGTATAAAAACAATTGCCAACTCTTTGTGTGAGCTAGTTTGCTGTGGCGACTCTGCAAGAAGAAGAAAAAAACTGAACTAAAAAATAATAAATATGCACTGCATGCATATTTGAGTAAATAATTTGAAGTCATTTATAGTACTAGCGTTTTTGTGTGGTGGTATTTTTTTACATTTTGAAAGAAAAAAAACAATGTGGTGAAACGGTGCAAATTATGTTCGGCTAATAACTTCTTTCCCATAGGTTACCCTGGACAACCAACAACACCTAAAGTGGTCAGCGTCTTTAAAGACTACATCAATCTGTCATGGTGTGGTCCATGTGATACAGGCGGAACCAAAATAGTGGGCTATAATTTGGAAAAGAACAAGACAGGCACCAATTACTGGAGTCTTGTAAACCAAAAGGGGCCAATCCCAGGTATCAGAGGATGATAGTGTCCGTGTGAGATGAAATACATATCCCTACATCAGTAATGATTTTGAGCGATATCACATCCACTTCTCTTTTTCTTCTCAGATACAAAGTATGCAGTGAACGATGTCTTTGAGGGTGCTGCATATCGATTCAGAGTGTCTGCTGTCAATCTGTCTGGTGCTGGAGATCCCAGTATTCCATGTGACACGGTTATTGCGAGAGATCCAATGAGTAGGCCAATCACACAGTGCTCCCACATTTGTCAAAGTTTCAATTGTTCTTGGAAAATGGCTCAAATTGTTCTATGAAAAAGATCCAGTAATGTCTGTTGTTTTGTGTACTTTTCATTGTCATAAATTCAGAACCCCCAGGCAAAGTGACAGACCTTAAATTAACGTCTTCCAGTTACACAACATTTTCACTGGCATGGAAAAAGCCAAAGGAAGTAAAAGGAGAAGAAGATGAACCCCGTGGATACTATGTGGAAATCAGACCAATAGACAGTCTAGAATGGATCCGATGTAATGCCATTCCAATTGGTTTAACTTCCTACACTGTGCTGGGCCTCAAGGCAATGGCCACATACTGGGTGAGAGTAATTGCCACAAATTATGGTGGTGATGGACAACCTCAGGGCTTTGACAATTATTTCATTGCCATGCCACCTCCCGGTAAGAACTTGGTTTGTTAAAAGTTAATGATGCTGCATGAAAAGAGAAACTGGGTGGGGAAAAAAGTTTTGCTTTGCTTCTCAAAATGTTTTCTATGTTACATGTATTCAAAATTCTTAGTTTTTTTTTTCTTCTTCGAAAATAGATCTAAAATACTACTTAGTTCAGTTTCAAACATTGACAAATTAATTTGCTTTTCTTGCTTTATCATCTGCCACTGAAGGTGTGACGCAATGATATGTTGCCTGTGTGTGTGTGGAGGGGGGGTCGTTTGTCATATAAGGAAAAACTCATGAGCCACTAGATGGATAAGGATTTTATTGAAACGCTCAAAAAGTATACATTCGATGTACAACTGTTTTAATGTTGTCAGTCAATCCAGCTCAAAAAGGCTTACAGAATGAAAATTGCCTGTATCTTAGCTAGTTTCACAAATATTGAGTTAAATGTTGGTATGGTAGTAGCTGAGAGTCACAAAATATGCTTTGAGTGCTTGCAAAAAAATTGTTTTTAAATCTTTGGCATGCAAGACAGTAGGCGATACGCATTCCTTGGATGCTACCTTTGTTTCATTTCGCCTGCCTTACAATGTGACTTTTTATTTTCGATCTTGAAGTTAAAAGGTGAAATAGTGACAAGTAATGAAAAAAAGGGGGGATTTCAAACAGCTTAAAATCAACAAACTTTTGCAAATATGCAACTGCACTCACCATAGCATTTTAAATACAACAAATTCTTAAAGTGATTGGGTTTTGTTGATTGTCAGCCAGACTTTACTGACAGAGACAGTCTGTTTGTTTGTGATTTTGTACCAAGACTGCTGCCTTTTGGTCATGCTTCTACCATTATTCATTCACTGGCAACACTCTTGGAAACAAATAAGCTCTAATCACACAGAGCGGGAAAACAACAATGCAGTATTTGACACTTGGTGCACCCAGAATGCAATGAATAAGAATAGCAATAAGGGCTGGAAATGAATCAGCATCTATCTGACTAGTTAATTTCCTCATTCAAGTTCTATAAGCATAACAATTTCATTTCCTCGTTTTACAGTTCTGAGGGCACACAATTAAAATTGAAAATGTTAACCACGGTGTTGCTCTATTGTAAATCTAAAAGAATTTTAAACTTTCTAAATTTAATCCACAGTGAAGCCAAAATTTAAAGGCCGCAACATGAAGTCCTTAATGGTGGTGCGATCTGGAAACACTGTTCGTCTCAACATCAACTTTGAGGTATTTACTCGAATTTTGTGCCAGATTTTTTTTTTTTTTTTTTTTTATCTATTAAGGCTAACAAGAAACTGTTTTACTAGGCAAACATATAAACATAAAAAATAACCTTCCTTTTTTTCCTGGTTGGGTTAAAGGCATCTCCAATGCCTGACATTTTTTGGGTAAAGGATGGACTCCCATTGGCCAAACATGTAACCATAACTAACTCTGATAAAGGATCTCAGCTGTTGATTCCCACATCTGAGCGATCAGACAGTGGCATCTACACCATTACTGTGAAGAACATTGTTGGTCAGGAGAGCTTCAGTGTTGAAATCAGAGTTACAGGTAAATTCTCAGGAATACATTTTTACTGTTCGCACAAGTTTAATCTTAACTAAGCCAAGTTCAAAACATGAGGATTGGATGAAAAGTAATCAGTAATAACATTAAAATCATTGTTTGGAAAAGTAAAATACGTAATATATTTCAACATTGTGTTTATCTGCGTAGAATACACTTATGTCCATGCAGTTTTAAACTCTCCAAATGCCTAAATAAAACTACCCTTTAATTTCCACTCAGATTATTGAACATAAAAGTCATACTACTGATTTTGAATGTCGGTAATCTCTCTTTCTGCATTTAAATCTTGTTTAAAGATGACCCGAAGCCTCCAGGCCTCACTGAGCTGGAACAGAACATCCCAGGAACAGTAACTTTGTGCTGGGCTCCCTCTCCAGATGAGAAGAGAGACGACAGACTACATTACACGGTTTCCAAGCGAGACTCCTTCAAACAAACTTGGAGGACGGTGGCCGACAACATCTTTAACAATAAGTTAACAGTCATCAACATTATGCCTGGACGGGAGTACTACTTTAGGGTGTTTGCTAAAAATGACATGGGCCTGTCGCCACCATCTGAATCTGCTGTGTTTGCAATCAAAAAGGAAAAAGGTTGGTGAAAAATTCAGATACTGTTGGGTCTACTGCTCACACTGAATCTAAACAACAAACTCCTGAGTACTGGTAAATATAATGTAAATTTAAAAAGCTAGTATTGATTCCTAATTTATTTCTAAACTTATAATTAGAGCCCTGACCAATACGGAAATGTTGGCTTTCACTGATACAGATATTGGGAGGGGCAGGTGAATGCCAATAATAACCAATATAATGACTTAAAATTTTGGCGTTTTGTCTACCCCCAAGAATCTAAGTAAACAGCGATTGGAAATGGGCATGCTTGGAGTGGTGTAGAGATACAGCAGCCGACTTGGGACAGAAAGTTGCAGGCTCGACTCAACACCATGCCCACATGCTGTAGTGTCCTTGAGCAAGACACCTAATCCCTAACTGATCTCCAGGCACTTACATAGCTGCCCACTGCTCCACCTGGGTGTAACTCACATGTGATAGGTTAAATGCAGAGCACAAATTTCATCATTGTATTAGAAACATACAATGATGACAACACATAGCACTTTCTTCTTCTCCATCTTTATTTAGTGCAGCTGTTAGCAACCATGAAGCTAAGCAAATTAGATCCAGACTAGACTCACACAAACTGATCTTCCTAAAGTGTGTTCACATTATCCTCCACTATTCACCATAAAGTTATCAAGTGTGTTACAAAAATATAAATTAAACAAAGAAACGCCCTTCCTTGTTCATTGTTTAAACAGTCAGTCATATATGGTGAAGGCCTAATTATATTGACCGCAGCAATGTTTTTTATTTCTTTGTAGAGAAAGACAAACAATTAATTTTATTGAGGATGACAAAGATAACGTTACTAACACTGATATTTTTTTCCTCTATGTTAGATTTATTGTTCTGGATAAAATTTTACAAGGCAATAGCCTATGCTAAACGTTAGTTTGCTAACTTGAGAGGCACGTAGCTAATGACAAATGGGTTGAAGGATTGAATATAATTTACTGTTGATTTTTTTATTTTATTTTATAGATCAGTTAAAATACACTTGCCATGCTCTGTTCAGCAAAATAAGCTACACAGTTGCTCCCTGCTTCATCTGTCATGAAAGTAAAAAATGAAAGTTAAAGTGAACAGCCATGACTTGAAAGTAGTCTTCATACGCCCTCTGCTGGATGTGTTGTACATTTACAGCTGGTTCCAGCATTTTAGTGGTGAAAATTAGAAATGATTTTATCGGTGTATAATGGAACAATTATCACCGATACTGATGGGTCCTCAAGCATCTATATCGGCCTAAAATATCAGCCCTACCAATATGTCGGTTGGGTTCTACTTATCATAAGATTAGTGGATTGCTTTATAGAAAGATTTGAGTTTAAAAACTCTAGACTTACAAACCGGATTCCAAAAAAGTTGGGACACTAAACAAATTGTGAATAAAAACTGAATGCAATGATGTGGAGGTGCCAACATCTAATATTTTATTCAGAATAGAACACAAATCACAGATCAAAAGTTTAAACTGAGAGAATGTATCATTTTAAGGGAAAAATCTGTTGTTTCCAAATTTTATGGCGTCAACAAATCCCAAAAAAGTTGGGACAAGTCCATTTTTACCACTGTGTGGCATCCCCCTTCTTCTTACAACACTCAACAGACGTCTGGGGACAGAGGAGACCAGTTTCTCAAGTTTAGAAATAGGAATGCTCTCCCATTCATGTCTAATACAGGCCTCTAACTCTTCAATCGTCTTGGGCCTTCTTTGTCGCACCTTCCTCTTTATGATGCACCAAATGTTGTCTATAGGTGAAAGATCTGGACTGCAGGTTGGCCATTTCAGTACCCGGATCCTTCTCCTACGTAGCCATGATGTTGTGATTGCTGCAGAATGTGGTCTGGCATTATTGTGTTGAAAAATGCAGGGTCTTCCCTGAAAGAGATGACGTCTAGATGGGAGCATATGTTGTTCTAGAACCTGAACATAGTTCTCTGCATTAATGGTGCCTTTCCAGTCATGCAAGCTGCCCATGCCACAAGCGCTCATGCAACCCCATACCATCAGTGATGCAGGCTTCTGAACAGAGCGTTGATAACTTCTTGGGCTATCCTTGGCCTCTCTGGTCCGGATGACATGGCGTCCCAGTGTTCCATAAAGAACTTCAAATTGTGACTCATCTGACCACAGAACAGTCTTCCATTTTGCCACACTCCATTTTAAATGACCCCTGACCCAGTGCAAATGTCTGAGCTTGTGGAGCTTGCTTAGAAATGGCTTCCTCTTTGCACTGTAGAGTTTCAGCTGGCAACGGCGGATGGCATGGTGGATTGTGTTCACTGACAATGCTTTCTGGAAGTATTCCTGAGCCCGTTCTGTTATTTCCTTGACAGTGGCATTCCTGTTTGAGGTGCAGTGATGTTTAAGGGCCCGGAGATCACGAGCAGAGTTTTACAGCCTTGAGCCTTACGCACAGCGATTGTTCCAGATTCTCTGAATCTTTTGATGATGTTATGCACGGTTGATGAGGATAACTTAAAAGTCTGCTATTTTACGCTTGGTAACACCATTCTGGTATTGCTACACTATCTTTCTGCGCAACAATGGTGGTGTAGTGAACTTAATCTGAGGTCAAGACTAAGCCTAAGGTCAAAACTCTTGACCTTAAGAACCTTGTGGGACAGGAACTGTCATTTCATTGATTTGAATCCAGAAATACAGGTTCACCCATCCTGAGACTTTCTTTCTTGAAAATTCAAGTGGAAGAACACTCTCTGTTCTATTATCATTACTATTTTACAAATGTTGATAATCAAAGTGCCTTAGTTCAAACCATTTTAGATGTTGCAGTGAACTAATCAATTTTATTAACTGTAATGATTTTTAATTCTCATGCAAAGTTAGAACTCATGTTAAAGCTGTTACAGAGTAATTATGCATTTTCTGATTTCTGTCTGTGAATGAGCAAAGTGTGCGTTCCAGGGTCAGGAGTCGAAGCAGACATGCGTTGGAACAACTGTCCTGTTTATATCCTCTCAGACGTCAACAGGGGGGTTTTGGCACCTGTTTCTTAAACTCGCCAAAACAAAACTCTCTCTGTCTGTGAGAACATTTCTGATCTGTTCCATAACAATTCTTGCTGCCTTCTAACCTTTTACGTCACAAAACACACCCCGTCTGGTCGGTTCTGGCCAATGGGGAGACTCCCGAATGAACCGGGAAAAGAGCTCTTTAAAATGTCGGTACTTCCTGGTCTACTCAGTTCTGTCAGTTCTGTGAGGGCTGTGAGAGTTCAGTTCTGTGGGAGTTGGGTCTCTGTTCAGTTCTGTGAGCCGGGAAGATCCTGACATGACAACAGAGCTCTTCCGAGTTTCATGGGATTATAACATCTTCACTGAGGTGAGCTGTGGCGGACAGAATCTCGCCACTACTCCGGACGAGTAACAGCATCCTACGGAGACGCTGAAAGGGTGCGTTAAACGGAATCTCGCCTGAGACATCTCCAGGTAAAAGAGTCGATTTCACCACCTAAGTGTACTGTAAGGAAGAAGCTGAAGAAAGCCCGGAGAGTGCCGTTCTGTTCAACACTCCCTCAAACCCCATCTTTTACTCTTCTTTAAACTTCGTTCCCATCTTTAAACTCCTCTCTCAAGTAGAAATTCTTCCAGATATTTAGAAATGTCTGTGTAAAGTGCTCATCCACCGCCGTGTGGGTAAAAGATCATAATTGTACAGTTTTCATAAATGTCTGTGGTGAAGCAACGGAAAAATCATGGCCGTATGATTTTTCCTGATTGATTGCTTATGTTGTTATTTTCATAATTTGCCAAATTAATGTAAATGTTTGATGTTAAACTTTGATTCTGTAAATAAATGACCGCATTCATTTTGATGGGTCAAAGATAAATGACGTCTCACGTTTGCATTTCCTTAAATTCAATGCACGTTTTATTCAGTCCAGAAAAATGAGGAATCCGTGTTAAGTGATGAATATATCTGAGCATCTGTTCATCTACAGTGGAATTGGTGATCCTCTTACCATCTTGGCTTCTGAGAGACACTAACACTCTGAGAAGCTCTTTTTATACCCAATCATGTTGTCAATTGACCTAATTAGTGTTAAATGGTCTTCCACCTGTTCGTTATATGCTCAATTTCCTTTTTCCAGCCACTTATTGCTACTTGTCCCAATTTTTTGGGGATTTGTTGACACTGAAATTTTGAGTCAACATATTTTTCCTTTAAAATGTTACATTTACTCAGATTAAACTTTTGATCTGTCATCTATGTTATATTACAAATAAAATATCGACATTTGCCATCTCCACATCATTGCATTCAGATTTTATTCACAATTTGTTTAGTGTCCCAACTTTTTTGGAATCAGGTTTGTATTTAAAAAAGCAGGTTTTCACTACTCGCATCAAATCAGGCTTTGATTTTAATGTTTAAAAACTGAGTAAAATTGGAAAGTAAAAACCAGCAAACTTGCAACAAATTTAACTGCATAATGATGAGAGAAATAACTGAGAAAATACAGCAAGAACCAGTTCAAGTTCAATGTTCTTTATTGTCATTCACATCACATGTGGTACATGAGGTGGAATAAAACTATGTACACTGGGTCCCAGTTGGAGTCAGAGACATCTACACCTCTAGATGCAAGAAGAGGGCCACCTACATCATGAAGGACCCCACTCACCCAGCACACACAGTCTTTGCCCCGCTCCCCTCAGGAAGGAGGTTAAGGAGCAATAAGTGTAGAGCCACTAGACTGAGGAACAGCTTCTACCCTGAGGTTGTTAGACTCATGAATCTCTAACCAGGATAATCACTGTGAAAAATCACTGTAATGCCACTTGATTGTGGATATGTGCTGCTGATTATCCATGCTGCTGATCGCATGCTGCTGATTTATTTCATGCTGCTATGTTCATTCGTACTCATCTGCTCACACAGACTCATGTTCGTGCTGCTGTTCAGTGTATTGTTTTTTTTAACTATTAGTGCTTAATGTATTTTTAGTTAATAATTTTTCTTAGTTCATATTTTAGATCTTATTACTGTTTTTCTTTACAACTTGTACTTTTGTTGGATGTAACTGGGACCCTGTGTACACAATTTTCTTCCACCACATTTGACTTTGACTTTGAGTTACATCCAACAATAGCAAAATATAAATTGTAAAATAAACAGTACTAAAGATCTAAAAGATATAAACTAAGAAATATGTTAAACACTTAATAGCGCAAAATAATATGCCGAACAAGTGAAGATTTCACATTTTAAGTTGTCACAAGTGGTTTTCATGTGAACACACAAAGATTCTCTACACAGATAACAGATTCATGACCAAAACCACATTAGGAGGTAGCTTAGGCCTCACATGGCACAACAAGTCAGGTATGAATCCATATAAAGACCGACACAATTGATTTCCTCTATATTGACATCAAGAGCAGGGCATTACATCCATTTTACACTCACATTGGGTTAGTGCAACCAAAAACAATGCTTGTGCTTATTTCTATATTAGTTAGAGGAGAAGAATTATTTTAGATGCATTTTTAACATCAGGCCTGAAATACCAAGCTGTCCTCTTGGTCAAATTACCAAAAGCTTATGTGAATGTCTAGACACTAAGAGGACAGTGGAAATGTAAAGCAGTCCATCATCCTTTAATAATACTTAAGAGGGACATCAGTATTCATAGGCACAAAGCATAAAACGTCTAGGAAGACAACTGCAACACATCATGTGCAAAAGAAAGCAGCTTTAAGAAATGGGTGCTCCTTGTGATGCTGCTTACAAACAGTAAAGTCAAGCTTTTTAAAATGCATAAAAATAAACTAAGAAAAGAAAATCATTAAGTTGCACATGGCATATATATATATGTAACTGCAATTTGATGTGTAAAACAAATCAAATTTTAGACCAAAGCTTCATAAAAGATGCAAAAAACCTGCAAAGATGGATTGTTGACTTAAACTTTAAGTGTGATCAGTTCATTACATAATGTTGGAAAAAATGTATTTATAGGCTGCTTCTAATTTGTTTCTTTTTTTACTTAACAATCCTATTTCTATCTGAAAGTTAACAGTACATGTTTGACTATATTTCAGAAAAGTTCAAGGTAAGCTTGCCAGAGAATAAACCTTTGGACTTTGAGTCGCCGCCATCATTCATTGTTCCCCTGAAGAGGCGCACAGCTCCTCAAGGATATGAATGCCACATGAGCTGTGCGGTAAGAGGTGATCCCGTGCCACGTGTGACATGGTGCCGCAACAACATCAGCATTAACACAAACACAAATTACCTCATTACAAATGTATGTGGAGTCTGCTCCCTGCTCATACTGCGGGTGGAACCCAAAGACTATGGAGAATACAAAGTGGTGATAGAGAACAAACTGGGAGCTGCAGAGTCCTCGATGACGCTGACTGTCAGAGGTAATTTCAAAAAGTTAAGAGGTTGCACAGTTTTGTGTTCACAACCTGCATGAGGACACATTTTATAATTGTAAATTAAACATGCTGAAAATAAAAGCTGTTTTTCTTGTTTGTTTTGTTGCAGAGTGAAGTGGATGTGACAAACCTAGACCTAACCTGAACCGACAGAGATTGAACTACATTATATTTATAATCAGTTATACCAGGGGTCTGCAACCTGCGGCTCTGGGGCTACATGCGGCTCATTGGTCCCTCTGCAGCGGCTCGTTCAAGTTTTGGCCAAAATGAACAGAAAACGGAATCTCATTGGTTGTTCTACCAACAACAAAAAATGCCTAGTTTTAGCCGTTTTCCTGTCATTTCGTTTGCAAAGATGTGAATACTAGTACTAATGCAAGGAGTAAAACATATTCACTTTAAAAACAAAAAAGGTTAAATCATTTTATTTGGACCAGTTTCTTTAAAGGAGAAACGTTCCGTCTTCCATCTGGAAGACTTCATCAGTCTGCAGCCTGCCAATCACATCTGTTCCATAAGTTACCTGGATGACTGAGCTTACAAACCTTTATATATATATATATATATATATATATATATATATATATATATATCACTTTAACTTTATGCTTTTCAACTTCAATGGATAGTTAATTTTTCCACCGTTAAAAAAAATCACATATTCAATGTTTTACTTTTTTTTATTGATTTAAAAAAAAAACAGTCTTTACAAGAATCTGGTATTTTATTTTGTCTTAATGTAAATATCAATAAATATTAAAAAATCATGATATTTTTAGTTTTGTCATGTCACCACCTACTGGCCAGGCAAGCCCCCTCCAACAAGCTAGAAGTGGTATGTGGGCCACCAGTTGATAATAAAAGTTGCAGCAGGTTGTTGTCGCTCTGGACATTTTTTATTTAGTGAACAAAGAAGCAGAAATGGCTCTTTTGATTGTAAAGGTTGCAGACCCCTGAACTGTACGAACTTCTGTTATTTTAAATCAGTCTGATCCCTACTGCTGCCTCACATCTTTATTTAAAATACTAATAAACACAAAGGTGCTTCCATTTATTGAAAATATGGATAAAAATAACATATCAAAACATGTTGTACTGTCTTTCTTTTATATTTTTAACAAGGTAATATTGAAGTAAAAAAATTACTTTATAATTCAAATGAGCAACTGTGTGCATAAATTGAAAAGTTGACTCAGTCTTTAAAATTTGCACAAAGTGTTAATTGGAATTTCCTAGCAAGCAAAAAAAAAAGTTGTACAAATAAAACAAGAGACATTGAAATAAGGTGAACTAAACAGACCAACTATATTTAAAAAAGCTGTGTTTAACATTTTCATCAGTGTTTAGCGATTATACACAAATCAGCTGGTTATTTCCTTTAACACACCAAGCAACCTGTTTTAATAGATATATCGTCTGTATCATTAATGAGACAAAGTCTGTGAGAAAGTTAAAAGTCCCTTTGTGGAGTGCATAACATAAAAAGAGTTGCCAGATCTGTGAAGTAAATTAAGTCTTATAGTTTAATGTACTTGTATTTGTTCCAATAAACCAGTGAGATAGAATCAATGGACAAATAACCCTCAGATGAGTCAATTACGGTCACAGATTCTGTAGCCAACATCTTCTGTAGCCAACATCTTCTGTAGCCAACATCTTCTGGTAATTTAATTGTATTTTCAAGTGCTGCTACTGTCAAAGCAATTATCCCATAACTAACTTTATTAGCAGGTCAAAACTTATTGTGAATGCAAATTTCACAACATGACTTGTATTTTTGAGGTCCTTGTTTAGTATGAATCTCACAGTTGCTTACAGCAAGGCTCTGTCTTGCATAAATATATTATCCTTAATGGTTTTGCTTTTGTGAACATGCTAATTAACAAACTTGTCATAAATATCAGTTTATTTCTGCCAACATTGAGGCCTCGAAAACAATACCACAGGCAGGCAATTTATAATAGAATACCTATTAAGATGCATGGAATTACATATTTTTGCTTTACCACTAAAAATAAAACAGGTTCAAGGATTTTGTCTCAAAGAATCAGTTGGCAATTACTGGTTTAAAAAAAAATATATATATATATATATTTTAGAAAATGTACAGTTCAGTTACAGTTAGTTTGTGTTGGTAAAGGTGGTATCATAAAACAATTACAAATACTTGGGAATTTTGGTTGATGCACATCTCTCTTTTTAAACCACAGATCGAAAACTTGAAAAAGAAGAAGAAAGTAAGACTGGGTTTATTTTCCAGAAATAGATCTTGCTTAACTCTGAATGCCAGAAAATGCCTTGCAACCACCACCTTACCAGCCATTGACTATGGTGACATTATTTACACGAATGCCCCTGCCAGCTCCTTGCAGATGTTGGATGCTGTCTACCATGGCGCGCTAAGATTCATAACTGGTACCAAACCCATCACTGCACTCTGTACTCCTTGGTCAGTTGATCATTATCTACACGTAGGCTCTCACACTGTTCATTTTCATCTATAAATCACTCCTTGGTCTGCTACCTTCTTATAGCTCCTCCCACATGCCACGCCGTCAGTGCAGCTACAGCATGAGCTCCCAAGACATCATTACCTGCAGCATCCCCTTAGTGTGGACTGAACTTGCAAAAAGGCCTTTTTTCTTACTCTGCTTCTGTAGCCTGGAACACCTTGCAACAGGAAGTGAAGCTGCTCACCTTAATATCTTTAAGGGATTTTGAACATTTGATGAGGTCAATAGAAACATCAAAGCAAATATGTTCTTGTTTTTAGTGTTTTATCCTTGTTTTATGGAAATTAATTTATAGTTTTATAACATTACTTTATTTTAATTGCATTTTTACTATAGTTTATTGTTGTCTGTACTTTATAGGGTTTCTGTCTAAAACAGGTCTCTCTTGTAAATGAGTCCTTGTGACTCAATGAGAATAACCTGGATAAATAAAGATTTAATGAATAATAAAAAATAAATAACAGCTGAAATTTCAGATTTTATTTTATTTTATTTTTATTATTATTCAATAAACCTTTATTTATACAGGTTATTCTCATACACTTTACACTTTACTTTTTTCTTATACACTTTACAGCATATGTGTCAAACTCAAGGCCCGGGGCCAAATGTGGCCCTCGTTGACATCTTATCTGGCCACCAAGATGATATGTGAAATGTAAAATACTTCTATCTCTTGAATTTTTTTCAGTAATCTTTGATTATGATGTTGAAAGCACAACAGAGAACATCAAATGAGACCAACCAAACTCTTGTTGAGGAACCTGCGACCAAGAAAAGATGTTGAGTATCAGATTTGAGTTAATCTAGATTCTGAAATTGGCCCTTAGTTTGAAAAAGGTTTTAATTTTGGCCCCCTTTTGTAAGTGAGTTTGACACCCCTGCTTTACAGTGTAAAGTGTGAATAAGAGTCAACATAAATTGATGTCATTAAGACTGAAATGACCCATATGTTTGAATAAACATATGGGTCATATCAGAGTGCATCATCTATATTAATATTATTATTATTGTTGTTGTTCTTGTTGTTGTTTATCAAGTTACAGTATACTTGTAGTTGATTCTACTTCCAGTTCAGAGTTGGACCAGCAGAGAGCGACAAACCTCATTCAAGACGCAGAACACAATTAATAATCGTAGAAGAAGAAATATCACCGGAAGCGGATTGTAATAACTCGCGCAAACTCGTTTTTAAATAAGCACACTTGATTAAATAATGAATTAGGTTTTGCTGAAGCCGAAGACTTCTTTTTAGCGTAATAATGTCGGGAATACCTCCAGACACATGGCAGCCGCCGACGGTGGCTTTGGAGACGACGTAGGTTCCTGTTAAAACTCTGAATGCTAACCGTGTTAGCTTTCATTCATAAACGTTTTCCTTGTGTTTTAGTGAAGCATTAAGTCTTAAGTGATTTTATTTAGAATCGTTTCTATGAATGCTAGTAGAGAGGAGCCTTTGCTGCTCATTTCGACTCGTTTCTAATGGTTGATTCCTTGTTTTCAGGATGGGGACGGTTGTGGTGGAGCTGTACTGGAACCATGCTCCAAAAACCTGCAAGAACTTTGCAGAACTCTCCAGACGAGGTTACTACAACAACACGAGGTTTCACCGGATTATTAAAGACTTCATGGTGCAGGGGGGAGACCCTACAGGGACAGGTGGGCCAGTCACTGAACGCTTTTATCAATGCAAAAATATTCTCAGCAATTTGTAACTGTAATTTTTTCAGTTATTTAATTTATGAAATAAATTGATATTTTATATTACAGTCTGTATAATGTATATAAAACCTTTTGCACCGATCAGAGTGAAGGCGCTGCCATGCAGAAATAACTCAAGATTGTTTGAAGCAGCATGATGCTGCAGTGTCTGTGCATGTGAGGTTAAAGTGAATGTGGCGTGCATATACTGCAAATGTAAAAAAAAAAACTTGTATTTTCAATTAGACATAAAACAAATGATTTTACCCATTTTGAGGACACCATACTGAGCAGCACAGGGGCTCCTCAAGGGACGGTCCTCTCACCGTTTCTGTTCATACTTTACACCTCGGTCTTCAGGAACAACTTACAATCCTGCCATCTGCAGAAGTTCTCGGATGACTGCCATTGTGGGCTGCATCACTGGTGACCAAATACAGAGGTGTGGTGGACAGATTTGTGGAGTGGTGTGTGGACAGAACAACTTTAAAAAAATCAGAAAATCTAAAGAGCTGCAGGTGGACTACAGTAAGAAGATCAGTCCCCCCAACCCTATCAAAATCAAGGGTACTAAGGTGGACACTGTGGACTGCTACAAGTACCTGTGGGTCCACCTAGACAATAAACTGGACTGGACAGCTAACACCAATGCTCTCTACAAGAAATTGCAGAGTCGCCTTTTTCTTCAAAGTCAACTTTATTGTCAAAACTGCAATATGTACAGGACATACACAGGATTGAAATTACATTATTCTCAGACCCCTGGTGCAACAATAACCATTTAACATTAAAACATTTAATAAACATAAGCATAAAATGAAATAATAAAAGTATGATACTGTCTTAAATTGTAGTATAGCGGTATAAAAAACATTTTAAAAAGTATATCTATAAAATAAAGTGAAGTGAAGGTCCTGACATTGACTTTTGTAGTAAGTGGCAAAGCAGCATATGAAGTGAATGTACACAGTATATGTATGAAGTCCTTGATATTGGTATAGGTTCTTCTGAGGAGACTTAGGTCCTTTAACGTCTGCAGGACCATGCTGCAGATGTTTTACCACTTGGTGGTGTCCAGCGTCTTCTTCTAAGCTGTGGTGTGCTGGGGCAGCAGGGTAAGGAAAGCTGATGCCAACGGACTCGATAAACTCATCAAGAGAGCTGACTCAGTCCTGGGAGTGGACCTGCAGTCTCTGACAGAGGTGTCTAAGCAGAGGGTGCTGAGGAAACTGCTCCAGATCATGAACAACACGTCACCACCACCCCCACATGCCACACTGGACTCTTACTGCAGCACCTTCAGTCATAGACTGAGACCACAGAGGTGCTCCACAGAGCACCACAGGAAGTCCTTCCTCCCTGTGGCTATCAAACTTTTCAACTCCTCCCCCTTTCTGCACAGAGGACAATAAAATAATCCTGCACCATAATAAACACTTTACTCTTTCTGTCTGCACCTGACCCATTTTAGACCTTAATTGTTGATATTTCTATACTATTTTTTTATATTTTGTGCGATTCCCTGTGTATGTTCCTTTATACATAAAGCTGTTAGACTGAAACCCTAGTCAGGCACAGCAATTTCCTGCGGGATCAATAAAGTCGTATCTTAACTGACCCTGCCAAAGTGAAACAGGAAATGACATCAAATTGGCTCACATGCAGGTGTTCCCCTTTGTCATCACTTCCTGTTACTGCTCATGGGAATATCACAATTGTTTATCTCAGCAGTGATTTTTTTTCAATACCCCAAGTTAAACCCAGATTTGTTTGCTGTGTTGTTGATGTTTCAGCGTTTTCACCTGATAAGTTTTTCTGTGTGGATTGATACTGTAATCTGATCCAAACAACTATTTGTAACAAAAATCAAACTATCATTGCCCAAATTACAAACTTTGACAGTTCTTAAAAATCTCACTTATGCTGCCAAACCAGGGTTTAAATAAACAAATGTATGCTTAATTTATTATTTGTACCTTACCTGAGTCTGAAGTTTGGGATATTTCTTTTCTGAACAGGCCGAGGTGGTGCCTCCATATACGGTAAACAATTTGAAGATGAACTCCACCCAGAGCTAAAATTTACAGGTAATCACAGCAGCTGCTATGAGAGGGGAATAAATAGAAATAATTATAAGTAAGATCCGCTCATTTCTTTTTTTTGTGTGCGTGTCTGTAAGGAGCTGGAATTCTTGCGATGGCCAACGCTGGACCTGACACCAATGGCAGTCAGTTCTTCCTCACTCTCGGACCCACCCAGTGGTTGGATGGAAAGCACAGTATTTTTGGAAGAGTATGCCAGGGGATCGGAGTGCTGAACCGGATTGGGATGGTGGAAACAAACAGTCAAGATCGTCCAGCTGATGATATCAAAATTGTCAGAGCTACTGTTCCTAATTAGAAAAACGTTTGCTTTTTTCTGTTCATTTTTTGTATTTTTCTTATACTTTTTAAAATAAACACATGATCAATGTCTGAAGAAATCCTGGCCTCACTTTTATTTATTTGAATCAATAATAATAAATACTTTTATTTATAATGCACTTTACATTCACAATGGATCTCAAAGTGCTACATTGAGTGAAAATCCGATAACATCAGGATAAAAAGCAACCGAGAGAAGGAACCACCAGGAGGATAATGCCTCAGAATGATCACATCAAAAACTTAAAATGCACAAAATGCAGATAAAATACTCAAGAAATATGGGTAAATCTCGTTTAGTATGACTACAAGTGTCACTTTTGAGCATGTGGCTGTACACTGTTCCTGATGGTTTTTCATCTTTAAGCTGATGGTAGGTTTAGGGCTATCTTGGTCTGTTTGGCACATTTCTTAAGATTTGTTAAAAATCTTAACCCAGAAACTTCCCTTTACTTGAGTGACTAGTTAAGTTCACACAGGCGTTTAAAAGAATAGCAGACAAAATGTGGCTATATTTATTTTCCTCTCGTGTTTTACTGTAAGACTTTGCTCTAGTTCAGTTTTAGTTTGCTTTGACTTCGAGGTGATTAGATGTAGAAGTCAGTTTTTCAAGTGACTGAAAATAAACATCAACCTGTACACATGTAGAGCCAAGTGTTTTACCTTCGAAGATTGTGTGTTTGCACAATCTTATAAAGATTTTAGGTGGAGTGCTGGCTGACAGAAACTACAGTATGTTTTCCTATTAGGGGACATCAACGAAAGAAAAGCTTTGCAGAAAGTGGTGAAGGCTGCTGTCTGTTGAAGTCAGCCTCCACACCATCACAGACATCTACACCTCCAGATGCAGGAAGAGTCAAGTCAACTTTATTTATAAAGCACATTTAAAATAGAAACTGTTATCAAAGTGCTTAAGAGTAACATTAATGGGAGTAAAATTAATAAAAAAATAAACACCACACACTAATGATACTGAAGAATTAATAAAAAGCATTTAAAACATAGCAAAAAAAAACTAAATCAACTCGTACTGCGAAAACAGATGTGTTTTTAGCTGAGATTTGAACTCAGGAAGGGAGGTGGTCTGCCTAATGTTGGGGGGGCATGTTGTTCCAGAGTTTGGGGCCCATGACTAAAAAAGCCCTATCTTCTCTAAGCTTCAGTCTTGTTTTTGGAACAGCCAAACGCAGCTGATTGGATGATCTTAGGACCTGAGAGGGAACGTATGGTTCCAGTAGCTCGGAGAGGTAAAGGGGGTGAGGCCATAAGGCACTTGAAGGTCAACAGAAGAATTTTAAAGGCACTTGAAGGTCAACAGAAGAATTTTAAAGACTATTCTTTCAGAGGGCCACCTGCATCATGAAGGACCCCACTCACCCAGCATACACACTTTTTGCCTCGCTTCCCTCAGGAAGACGGTTGAAGAACATTAAGTGCAGAACCACTAGGCTGAGGAACAGCTTCTACCCTGCAGCTGTTAGACTGAAACCCTAGTCAGGAGTATCACTGAAAATCACTGTGAAAAAGTTACTGTAATGCCACTTGGTTGTTATGTGCTGCTGATCTCATGCTGCTGATTTATTTCATGCTGCTGTGTTCATTCGTCCTCATCTGCTCACACAGACTCTTGTTCGTGCTGCTGTTGTTGGGCGCATTGTTTTGTACTGTTAGTGCTTAGTGTATTCTTAGTTCATGTTTTGGATCTTATTACTGTTTTTCTTTACAATTTGTATTTTTGTTGGATTTAACTTAGAGCCTGTACATAATGGTAGTTTTGTTCCACGTCATGTACCACAAGTGATGTGAATGACAGTAAAGAACCTTGAATCCTTGAACATTCATACAGACAATAAAAGTGTACTCTTGTGTATTTTTAAACATCAGTTTGTCCAGAGCAAACACTGCATTTAAACAAGCAGGCGTTCGTAAAAGCACTTGACACAATTCAAGCCAAGGCTGCAGGTTAATGATTGATTTTGTTATTGTGGAAACAAATCTGTCACCATATGACCGCAGGAGATGAGCTGAAGAAAGGTCTTCACTCAGTAGTGAGGGAAATCAAACATACTGGTCAGGTCAAAAACATCCAGGGTTGTGTTCAACTGTGGATTAGAGCTGTACAGTTTCAGCTGTTAGGAGGGGGTAGTAGTTGTGGATGTGACCTCTGAACCTGCAGGAAAACGTCTCCAGTGCTGGGGGGTCATCAGGGCTACAGAGCTTGGTTACCTTGGATGGTTTTGGTCCCCATGGTACTAAACAACCAGGGTGCAAGTTTGGTTTTAACAGCCATCGATAGTCTCATTTCTGTTTTGTCTCATCCAAGACAGCTGTCAATTCTGTTCATAACATTTTTAAAATAAGACAACAAATTTTTAAAAAGCACACACAAATGTGGGGAAAAGGTAACATTTTATAATAATGTTAACAAAATGTGTAAACTGTACCATGCTATCCAAAAAAGTTCAATCTGGTCCTCTGGGCATTCAAAAAACAAGAAAACAAAAAACAAAACAAAGCAACAAAATGTAGAAACGTTTCGTCTCTCATCCGAGAGACTTCCTCAGTCTGAGGTGCTGTATTCAGCTCAGTCTCTTAAATAACACCTTCTCAGAGTGGATCAACCAGTTTTGCTGCTGACAACCAAAACCAGCTGATCACATGGTCAAGAATCACTAGTATCACTCAACCCCCTGTGAATAGTAAACAGCCATCATCAGTGTGCTAATGATCCATCGTTAGGCTGATGGTCCTTCTTGAGCATGTGATCAGCTGGTTTTGGTTGTCAGCAGCAAACTGGTTGATCCACTCTGAGAAGGTGCTATTTAAGAGATTGCGCTGAATACAGCACCTCAGACTGAGGAAGTCTCTCAGATGAGAGACGAAACGTTTCTATATATTTTTTGCTTTGTTTTGTTTTTTTGAATGTCCAGCGGACCAGATTAAACTTTTTTGGATTTTCTACCTGGATTATTGAGCATGCATCAGGATATGACTGTAATAACTTTTAAAATGATAACATTTATGAAAAGTAAATAAAATCTTATGTATTAGGTTCTGTTTGTACCTGATGCCTGGACCTCCTGTCTCTATGTGATGAACTTTGTCTTAAGGTTTTAATTAAAAACTATCTTAACAACTTTTTGACAGCTTGGGATGAAATTTGGTGCAGCTACTATTTCCCTCCTCTCCAAGAACAACTTGTGATCCTTTAACTTTCTTTTATTTTTGCATTTTATACAAATACATGGCTGTCTGCCGTAGGAACATCGGGAGGTCGCAGGCATGAAGAAACAGGATGTAGGGAATCAAAAACCTGGAAAAAATTGAGACGATGAAATACATGATCTGACACAAGACGGAGATAAATCGTTTAAAAAATGTCGAAGTCAAATATCTGTTTATAGCACATTAAAAATTTGATTAGTTCCTAAATCCAGTGGAAATAAAGTACAAACCGGATTCCAAAAAAGATGGGACACTAAACAAATTGTGAATAAAAACTGAATGCAATGATGTGGAGGTGCCAACATCTAATATTTTATTCAGAATAGAACAAATCACAGATCAAAAGTTTAAACTGAGAGAATGTATCATTTTAAAGGAAAAATCTGTTGTTTCCAAATTTCATGGCATCAACAAATCCCCAAAAAGTTGGGACAAGTCCATTTTTACCACTGTGTGGCATCCCCCCTTCTTCTTACAACACTCAACAGACGACTGGGGACAGAGGAGACCAGTTTCTCAAGTTTAGAAATAGGATTGCTCTCCCATTCATGTCTAATACAGACCTCTAACTGTTCAATCGTCTTGGGCCTTCTTTGTCGCACCTTCCTCTTTATGATGCGCCAAATGTTCTCTATAGGTGAAAGATCTGGACTGCAGGCTGGCCATTTCAGTACCCAGATCCTTCTCCTACGTAACCATGATGTTCTGATTGCTGCAGAATGTGGTCTGGCATTATCGTGTTGAAAAATGCAGGGTCTTCCCTGAAAGAGATGACGTCTAGATGGGAGCATATGTTGTTCTAGAACCTGAACATAGTTCTCTGCATTAATGGTGCCTTTCCAGACATACAAGCTGCCCATGCCACAAGCGCTCATGCAACCCCATACCATCAGTGATGCAGGCTTCTGAACGGAGCGTTGATAACAACTTGGGCTATCCTTGTCCTCTCTGGTCCGGATGACATGGCGTCCCAGTGTTCCACAAAGAACTTCAAATTGTGACTCATCTGACCACAGAACAGTCTTCCATTTTGCCACACTCCATTTTAAATGACCCTTGGCCCAGTGCAAGCGTCTGAGCTTGTGGAGCTTGCTTAGAAATGGCTTCCTCTTTGCACTGTAGAGTTTCAGCTGGCAACGGCGGATGGCACGGTGGATTGTGTTCACTGACAATGCTTTCTGGAAGTATTCCTGAGCCCATTCTGTTATTTCCTTGACAGTGGCATTCCTGTTTGAGGTGCAGTGACGTTTAAGGGCCCGGAGATCACAAGCATCCAGTAGAGTTTTACGGCCTTGACCCTTACGCACAGCGATTGTTCCAGATTCTCTGAATCTTGATGATGTTATGCATGGTTGATGATGATAACTTAAAAGTCTTTGCTATTTTACGCTGGGTAACACCATTCTGGTATTGCTGCACTATCTTTCTGCGCAACAATGGTGGAATTGGTGATCCTCTTACCATCTTGGCTTCTTTTTTTTTTTTTTCCTTTTTTTTCCCTTGTCCTGTCCGGCATTGTGACACTTAGAATTATTGCCTGAGAGTCAAAGTGATGCCCAACAGATTTACTTTCACAAGCAGAGCATTATGGCTGGCCTTAATGCTCCACTTGATATATAAATTAAATTTTATTAGAATATGCTTTGGGTTTGTTCCAGATATAATGGACACGGGGACGGAAAACAAAGAAGATAACAAAGCAGAAAAGTGAACGAAGAGTTAAAATGTAACGAAGGAGATAGGAATAGAGGAGAGAGAGAGGGATAAAGAGAACACAAATCAACATCATTGAAGTCTGCCTCTAGACCTGCGGA